TCAGGATAAACTAGTGACTTAGCAAAGGGTGGTAGCAGTGGAGAGGGTGAGAATTGAATGGATTTGAAGACTATTGGAAGATGGATATTGAACTTGGACATATGGAAATATTGCATATTAAAGATAATTCTTAACCCCCCATGCAGCTGAATGGATGACTGTATGATTCATTATGATAGGAGATAATAAAAGATCAGGTGTGTGGGAGTTGAATGCAACATCTTCATAGTATGAACATGATGAAAACATGGGAGGTCCTATAGTGTTGTGTAACTCACTGAATCCTCATAATATTTCCAGAGCATAGGTGCTGTTATTATCACTGCAGTTGTATTAGTAAAGGAAAAATGCAATGGGACTATACTAACTGACCAGTTCCAAGGACAGCAAATGATAGACCCAGTATTTGGACCATGTCTACCCTCTTAAGCGCGACACTATAGGACCTCCCCTAATGCATATGAACAGCATTGAATCTGCCCTCTTATACAATAAAGTCCAAGCTTGGACTATTGAAACACCCTTGTCACTGATAAAATGGAGACAATAGAGTCAAAATGCCTCCTTCCTCGTCATTGTTTCTAATGAATGAAACAATGTGATGAATCTTCCCTTTATTCCCCCAATTGACAGCATATGCCTTTAGTTGTGCTTTGGTAGAGTGAAACATAGCCTGCCGAGTCATCTCTACCAGTTTCTGCATCATGAGGTTTGCAGGAAGCCTCCCATCTGACTGCAAACTAGGTTCACAGCTGCTTATCTTAGGAGATTTGACAAGGTCACAGCTTGAAAAGGTATCACTGTATTATAATTAAAGATTAAGTGAAAATGTATTCCATTTAATAATTCAAGAATAGTTTGCCTGGTGTCTGTTATAAATAACAGGGTATCATTATCATATATTATTTTAAAACAAGCTTATTTAACTATATTTCATTTTCTAGTGCCTTACTATTGATAAAGATGATGCAAGGACTGTCTATACAAATGTAAATAAGATGTCAAAATGTTTGTAAGGATCACCTTGCTTTACATTTATATATTATATATTAGAAATGTTTATATCATCCCATTTCTGAAGACAGATGACTTTGTACCTGAGAATCTGCTCCAATCTATAAAGCCAGTATTCATAAGCTCTATGACTAATATTTAATATTTGGAGTGAACACTTCTTCAAATAGACTTGTACCAACCAACCAGTTTCACTGTTATCCTACCTTCTCTTTTAGTGTCTTTTCCCCAAGGCTATTTTATTTTTGAAGCTAAAATAATAATATTTTCAAAATTAAATCATATTTAATAACCAAGTTTATACTCATGATACCACAGTGAAATAACCAATCTTCTGCCTTAACTAATGTTAAATTAATTTTATTGGCTAGATAGATCTATTTCTTCATTCCTTGACTAGAGAGGTGGACACAGTTGATAAAAGTGGCCAGAAGTTATATAGATACGGAAATTGATTCAAATACATCATTCTCTCCACCAGAATAATTTGATTTGATTCCAGAATACTGTAATTTTTTGGTTATTTTTTTCTTTCTTATGTTCTATTAGTTTATCAGCAGGACAATCAAAAGTCCTACAAACGATTTAGTGCATGCCCAGAACCGTATGATGGTGTAATATAAGTAGGAAACATCACCTGTAATGAATTTAGTCAAATTAGAAAATATAGTTTAAATGTATTAAGCCATTAGACAATGGGATGTAAAAGTGCTCTGACATCACTCATATCTGCCCCCATTTAGGGGAGGGGACTTCAGGGTAAAGAATATAGGAGAGGCTTTTAAAACAAATTTATCCAGAAGCATATCAGTAGCATCAAGCCACAGTGAATACAGAAAGTGATCAATAATATTCATATCAACAAGATATTTATAAACATGCCCACAGTGGTCCTCATAGGAAACAAAAGTATCTGAGACCCAGAGACCAAAGCTATGCAGACACCTGAAATTCTATCGTCATGCCACTGTATTAACTACTCAACAGTAAATATACTGTGTATGGCTCTATATATTAGCGGACAATGTGTTTCCCTAAAAATGGAAGCAAGTAAAGGTTCAAATTTGCAAGCTAATATACAAAACTAAAAATCTCTCAATATCACTTGGCTCTAGTCTAGAAGTTTCGTATCGTTGAGCAAAAAGCTCAGAGAAATCTGAAATTATAGACCTGAATGAAATGTTTCATGTATTGTGTTCTAGATGAAATTAGCATACACCTCATTTATCAATTCAAAATACTAATCTGAATACTGACTACAAACACATTATTACACATAAATATTGCATGCTTACATTATCAAAAAACTAGAAGGACATAATACCAACACTGTTTATATGGGCACTATTCTTACCATAAAAGATAAACATAGACATTATGTTTCATTAATATTAAAAGAATTTGTAAAGAAAAAAGTCTCAAAGATCACATTTTTGCCTTTCTATTGCATATGGAATGAATTGCGCATAATTTGCATTGAATGTTTATTCATTTATTTTAGGAATTAAGGCTATTTTTCTAATGTGCCCAAGATGTAGTACCTGTAAAATTTCTGTGATGGGGTAGTTTACATGGACTTTATAGAGAAGGAAATAATGTATTTTTTAAATGTTAAAGAATGTATTTTTGACCAATATAGAATAGCCTTTAGTTTAAAAGTCTTTGGAGTCAAACAGGGATTCACATCTTGACTTTACCATTTACTAACTTGTGACAATGGGGGAGTCATTACCTTTTCTGGCTTCCTCATTGTAATGGACAGCTATAAAAATAAACCTACTTCATAGAATTATTGTGAGGTAGAAAGTACATAAAGTGTTTGAAATGTTAAACACAGCCTTCCAACCCATGACACCAACAGGCTAATAGATTCGCAATAAAATATAGCTGTTATAAGATTTTTTTAAGTAAAAAAAGATAGACAGATAGCCTTTTTTTCTAACTACACCATAAAAGTGTACCTTGAAGTCTTACTAAATAATATCCATTTTTCAAATGGAATAAGAAAAAAATCATTAAAGCAGATTAAAGGAATTTCTAGTCATTCTTTAATGTCAATTCTAATTTTGAAGTTGTCAGGCATTTTTTTTTCATTGTCAGATCATTCTCCATTCACCAACTTCACCCTCCTCTTGATAAGGCATTAAACACAGGACTATGAGCCGATGGTGTAGCCTCTGTCTGGAGTGGTGGGAATGGCCGTGCATTTTGTACTTCGAGTTTGCACATTTCAGATAAAGTTGCAAAAGGGCCTGGGAAGAGGGAGAAAAGCAGCAACAAAGTAACTCCCCTGCACTCTCCTGACTAGTTAGAAAACTTAATTTTCCCGACCACTGGTACCATCTCCAAAAACCTGTTTCATCGAGGAAGATTGGCGTGTGTACATAGTAGCAATTACTAAGCCACTCCTTTTGCTGAGTAATTGTCTGTGCCAGGATTGGCGTAGAACTGAATAAAAACCACCCAAGAGGCGACTGCTAAGCCCATGCTCTGAACCCTGCACTCCATCATGGCGTGTATATGGTTGCATCTTTCGGGAAAGCTTTTCACCATTTTAACTATGGAAGCCCTGTGCATCCCTTGGAGCTCTGCTACAACGTTCCAGGGGCCCTTGCGCATGCCAGGGCTTTGCCCAGCCACTGGACCTCCTGGTGTTGACAGTGAGGAAAGAACCTTCCCTCCCCCGGGGCAGAGAAAGAAGTATCCCTTTTTTTGGACCTCTTCCACTCCACTCCTTCACAGTGGGAGTGATATTCCAGAACCTAAGTCTGGGAAGAACACCCTCTTCTTAGCCTCCTTCTCCCACCTCCATCCTTACTGCTATCCTCAAAGGTACCTGAGGCTGGGCTGAACTCGGGGTCCTGACCCCAACCCTGGCAGGAAATGGGGCCCCGGGAACCGCATTTGGAATGCGGTTCCCCCCTGTCCTCTCCCCCGCCCTGGTGATTCTGGGGTATAAACTCAGGGCCCTCAATCTGAGAATTAAGGGGAAAGAGTGGCTGAAAAGAAAGATTGAGAAAAATTATAACAGACACCAGCAGGGGGGCTGTGACCTGAGAGGCAGCCTGGCAAACCTAAGGGGAAGGGTCTATCCCCTGCTCCTGCCAAACGCCTCCCATTCCCCCAGAAGTTCACTTTGTAATTGTAGAAAGGGTCTTCCCCGATTACACCAAGTGCACTTAATGGTTCGTCGACAGATAATTGCCAGGGCTGCTTCTCGCCTTATATTGGACTGTATTTCATTTTCTGGTTCGATTCACTGGGGGTCTGAAGAAGCCCAGCTGATGACTCTCCTGAGGGTAGTGAGTGCCCCAAGTGGGATACCCGGGAGCCTGGGCAGCGCACTAGGCGGTGTCCGCGCTGGGACGGCTGGGGGTGGGGGAATCCGGGAGCAATGGCCCGGGGCCAGTTTCCCCGCCGCGGGCTGCATCCCCACCCCCCACCGCCCTTCTCCGACCCCTCCCACCCTGGAGTGTGCTACCCAGCACCCCACGCCCGCTCCCGGCCGGCTCCTCCCGTGCCTCCGCCCCTTCACATCGGGCCCCCCGCGTCGTCCTCGTCCCACTCCGACTTCGCTCCCGCCGCCGCGCCGTCCGCACTTCCCGCCCTCGCCCAGCTCCGCGCCGCCACGG